TATTCCCACTTACAGACAACATCATACTACAATATAATACTCTAGTAGTGTATATAAGATAGAAAACCTTGTGTGTGAGAGAGAATGATAGTGTATGTGAGAGAGGAATTGTAGTATGTATGAGGGTATAGTAGTGTGTGTGAGAGAGAATGATAGTGTATGTGAGAGAGGAATTATAGTATGTATGAGGGTATAGTAGTGTGTGTGAGAGAGAATGATAGTGTATGTGAGAGGAATTGTAGTACGTATGAGGGTATAGTAGTGTGTGTGTGAGAGAGAATGATAGTGTATGTGAGAGAGGAATTGTAGTATGTATGAGGGTATAGTAGTGTGTGTGAGAGAGAATGATAGTGTATGTGAGAGAGGAATTGTAGTATGTATGAGGGTATAGTAGTGTGTGTGTGAGAGAATGATAGTGTATGTGAGAGAGGAATTGTAGTATGTATGAGTGTATAGTAGTGTGTGTGTGAGAGAATGATAGTGTATGTGAGAGAGGAATTGTAGTATGTATGTGGGTATAGTAGTGTGTGTGAGAGAGAATGATAGTGTATGTGAGAGAATAATTGTAGTATGTATGAGGGTATAGTAGTGTGTGTGAGAGAGAATGATAGTGTATGTGAGAGGAATTGTAGTATGTATGAGGGTATAGTAGTGTGTGTGTGTGTGTGTGTGTGTGTGTGTGTGTGTGTGTGTGTGTGTGTGTGTGTGAGAGAGAGAGAATGATAGTGTATGTGAGAGAGGGATTGTAGTATGTATGAGGGTATAGTAGTGTGTGTGTGAGAGAATGATAGTGTATGTGAGAGAGGAATTGTAGTATGTATGAGGGTATAGTAGTGTGTGTGTGTGTGTGTGTGTGTGTGTGTGTGTGTGTGTGTGTGTGTGTGTGTGTGTGTGTGTGTGTGTGTGTGTGTGTGTGTGTGTGTGTGTGTGTGTGTGTGTGTGTGTGTGTGTGTGTGTGTGTGTGTGTGTGTGTGTGTGTGTGTGTGTGTGTGTGTGTGTGTGTGTGTGTGAGAATGATAGTGTATGTGAGAGAGGAATTGTAGTATGTATGAGGGTATAGTAGTGTGTGTGTGAGAGAGAATGATAGTGTATGTGAAAGACAATGCTTGTGTTTTTGAGAGCTTATAACAGTTTGTGAGAGGACATTGTACTGGTTGTGAGAGAGTATACTTTAAAAGGAAGTCAGGTTGATCCAACAGGAAGCCAGTTTAAATATTCAGTCATTGACTGGTTTACAGCCTCGAAAACAAAGCCAGAAGCTGCTCAGAGCACTGCTAGCTAAATGTGAGCTGCAATAAGAACTTTTGTTAACACTTTATATTAAGGTGCACCAATTCACCATCAACTAGTTGTTCATTAACATGCTTATTAGCAGTATATTGGCTCTTTATTAGTCATTATAAAACACTTATTAATGCCTTATTCTACATGACCATATTCTACAAGTAATAGGCCATTAGTTGAGAGTTTTTCCTCATAACCCTCTAATTGGTGCTTATTGCAAGTAAGGAAGTTGTTTGGTCTTAATATGCTCAATATGGGCCTAATAAGGCAGTAGTACCACAAGAATAGTAATTCTCCCATAATAACACTTAACAAATATGATCTATTCTTATGTAACAAGTAGGGCTGTCAAGTTAACGCGTTAATAACGCGTTAACGCAAAAAAAAATTCACGCCACTAATTATTTTAACGCGATTAACGCATGTGTATTTTTTGTCCTCGCCGCCCCGTAGTTTCAGAGCGCATCGAGTTTAAAATACCATCTACAAGCTGATGCTGACAGCCCCGCTCCTGCCGCCCGCTTGTGGCAGACCACACTTCCACGCTCACCGGCAGGCCCGGACTGGCCATCGGGAGGACCGGGAGGGAGTGTGTATGTGTGGCGCGACTCGCGCGAGCGAGGCACACCTTACGTGTTGTTGTTGTTAGCATCTGGTGCTAGCTAGCTGCGCTAACGGATATAAGGAGCTGTTTCAATGACATTTCGCCGACAACTGCGCCGAGCACTTGACTTTATGCAGGTAGCCAGACAGTGGGACATTGTACGAAAAGTCAGCGCACTCAGCACGGATAGTACGCGCTATTGCAGCACACGTTCGAGCATATATGCCTTGAGCGGCACATAGCTCCAACGATCCATCACAGTGTCTCCACACACACACACACACACACACACACACACACACACACACACACACACACACACACACACACACACACACACACACACACACACACACACACACACACACACTATTGTATGAGAGAGGGTCTAGGTTGAATTGAGGCGAATATTTGTAATGTTCAGAGGTTGTTGTGTTTAATATTCATGAGAATATTTGTCATTGTTCAAATGATAATAAACAAACATATAAAGCATATGTGTCCACTCATATGTTGATAAGAGTATTTAAAACTTGAAAAATATCCCTCTAAGGTACATTTAGAACAGATAAAAAATGTGCGATTAATTTGCGATTAATCGCGATTAACTATGGACAATCATGCGATTAATCGCGATTAAATATTTTAATCGACTGACAGCCCTAGTAACAAGACATGAAACTATAAGTGTCAATTAAGTCTAAATAACTCAAAATGAGGTATTTCTATCTAAGAATATGTTCCCTATTTTAAAGTGAAGTCTTGTTTATAACCAATAAGCTAGTAGTTTGACTCTGATTGACCTGAACAGGTTCCCTATTCTAAAGTTGCCTCCTCTTCACACTTTGTAAATACATTATAGCACACAACTACTGAAATTAACCTCAACAGCACATGAACAAAGTAGGCACACGTTGAAATATCTGTTTTATTAAACCACTAAAGAGAGGTTCAGACACATACCAAAACATGTCAAGTTTCTCCAAGGCTGAGAACACATATGCAGCCTGTATACTTCTTAATAAAAACAGATTTTTAACAGATTGTATGTATTTGTGATCATACTGTGTGACCTGCTTGTATGTACTTACTTAATAGGTGTACTGTTCTCTCTATGTGTTGTACTGTCTCAGTGTGAACATAGATTAAACAGCCAGCCAAACTCTTTTGAGAGCCAGGGAATGAGCAGCCATGCTCCTTTATTTAATTATTTGCAGTCCACTGACATTCAAACGGAGTGAAACTATAAAAAAAGAAGATACAAGGCACTTAATGATCTCATACATGCAAGTGTAACATACACAGATTAACACTTACGGACCGTCCACACAGCAGCGTTAAAAAATCTTGAAACGCTTCTGCCCATTCACTTTGAATGGGGTGACGTCAATTTGCCTCACTTTTCGCCGTAAATATAGCTAATGCTAGCTGTAGCATATCCCTCCGAAATATGGTCGTAGACTTTACTGATGATTTAGAATTTATTGAAACTCCAGAGTAAACGTAAGAGCTATAAAGACACAAAAATAACAAATACATTTTGGCTCAATCCGTATTAGAATCACTTTAGCATACTACCAAAAGTTAACTGTAAACAGACAGCAAAGCTACAAAACAGTTTATAAACGAATTGGGACACAACCTACAATTTTATATTATAGTAAATACCAACCTTGTGCCTCTTCGGGGTCTGCTAAACTTAAACATACACTTTATTCTTTACTTTCTCCGTCTTTATAGAAGATATTTCTTTTCACAGTCATGTTGTTTCCATAGCAACAACAACTTCCTGTCAACAGCGTAAACTCGCCTTCAAAATAAAAGCATCTAAATAAAACAGGAAGTTAACCTAAATTACATTTAAGACGTATATAAAACTGCAACGAAAGCAACAAAAACAATGCAACATCCCCTTCAGTCTCACAGAACACAAATGGGGTTATTTACACTAGCTGTGCAATAAGCATGTGTACAGGCTAGTATGGCTAACGCTAGCGTGTATGCTAACGCTAGCGCGAATGCTAACGCATTTTCTCATTGAGTTTAAACATCTCCAAATGTCATCACATAAACACAATACATGTTACTAATCCTTACAGTGTAAGTGTAAGGCTTACACTTATGGCGCGTTTCCACTACACGGCCTCGCTCGGCCCCGCTCGGTATGGCTAGGCCTCGTTAGGACTGGCTCACTTTATGGCGCATTTCCATTACAGTTTAGGAACTGGGGTAGTATCTATAGTAACGCAGTGTAGGCGGAGCCGTGACGTCATCTTCAATGAGAACCCCAGAAAAACAACACAGCCGTTAGCTGTTAGCACTCAGAGCTCACAGCTCCTCATATATGTTCAGAAACTAGACAAAAGTGAAACAAGTACAAACCACAGACTGCCTGTGTCATGGTGAATACAGTCGCTGCTTTATTTATGTCTGTATAGGCCGTTGTTGTGAGTGTGGACGGTCGGAGCATATACTGCGTTAGCTTAGCCAATCTCCATTTAGAAAACACGCATTTTAAAAGGTTTTTCGCCTGCCGTCTGTCTGCAGACTTGACAAAGCATTAATTCATGGTTTTTACTAACCAGTATCAGTATGTTGTTACTTCGGCATCATTTTGAAACGTGTATTACAATTAAATCACGGTCAAATATGTCCATCTTGTTGTAGTTGTAGCCCCCTTGCCAGCGATGCTCTCTCTAGTTTAGCATACTCAGCCCGACTCAGCCTCGTTGTCTCTGGCCCTAGACCCACGATTTTATGAGGCCAGAAAAACTGTGAATTAGGACCCGCCGGCCGGTATTAGGCCTAGTGGAAACGCAACCAAAGACGGGCCGCTGACGTCACAGCCCTCTTAAACCGTGCTCCGCGCTGTAGTGGAAACGCGCCATTACAGTCATTGCTTTCTGACGGACTTGACCCTTTTACTCTTCAGGTTGCATAGGGAAAATTAGTAGCATTCTACTGCCTTTCTTAAAACACTAAAAACACACTTCTTCTCTCTGGCTTTCTAGTTAGAGCGGAGCACGACTCCTGACTGTTATTATTATTATTCGGCCTTTCATTCACTGCTAATCTGTTTTACATATATGACTATTGTTATTAACATGAAATACTATTCCCTCTTATATAGGTTATTATTCTGTCTTACATACTGTTGTGCACCGACAGAAATGCTAAGAGAGGTTCATTTTCATGTTGTTTTATGTTTGTTTTGTCACTCACCATTTACCTCTCATTCCAGGCTTCCTGATTGTCCACCCTTTGTGTGTCTCCTGTGCTCATCAGCACCAGCCCCGCCCCTGATTGTTTTCGCCTGTGTCTTGTTGTCGTGTGTTTAAATTCCCCAGTCTCCCAGTGTTCATTGTCAGTTTGTCTTGTCTCATGCCAAAGTCAGGTCTATGCTCTCTTTGTTATCAAGAAAGTTTTGTTCCTCACAACGTGAGTGATTATCTTTTTTTCTCATTTTGTCATCTCATCCTGAGATTAGATAGTGATCATTTTTTGTTCATCTTTTGGAAAAATAAAGTATCTTACAAATACTTTACCTCTGTCTCCCGGGTCGTGCAATTGGGTCCTATATCCTGAGTGTCTGAGTTCATAACACATACATTGTGTACCGATTACACACATACTACTATCCTCTTTCACATACACTATTATAATGTTCTATTAGATTATAGTTGTTTGTGAAAGACGATAGTGGTGTGTGTACGAGAGTATGATGGTGCGTTTAATAGATTTTGTTTTTGTGTGTGAGAGAGAATAGTTATTTATGTATGATAGTATGATAGTAAATGAAGGAAGGAATGACAGTACGTTAAAGACGGTATGATACTGTGTGTGAAAGAATCTGGTGGTGTACATGTGAGATTCTGATATTGTTTGTAAGACCAAGTATGAGTTGTGAGCTAGACGGCCTCTCATAGTTGAAGGATGTCTCCGTCTCTTACCAGCAGACTTCCCTATCTGCCTCACTTGGAGGACAACTCAAGAGCCGGGGAGCTGCTGCACAGTTACTTTAATTCCCAGAAAATTACAGAGTCCATACTCTGCTGAGTTTAGTCTGCAAGTTGCAGGGGTCGGGGGAGTCATGTGTATCCCATCAGGAGTTGCAGAGATGGAACACATAGATGAAAAATTGGCAGAAAAAGCACTGGGACACACACACACTCACACACACACACACACTCACACACACACACTCACAGGGCCGACTTGGCATGCCAGGAAAGGTTTGCGATGGATTAACTCACAGTTGCTGGGTGGGTGAGCACAGCACCAGCTCAGAGTCGGGAGGAGAACTGCTGCTGGGACACACTGTTGAACAGTCCCCATGCCAGCAGAGAGGGAGGATTTGCACGCAAATAGGGAGGTGTGTGTGTGTGTGTGTGTGTGTGTGTGTGTGTGTGTGTGTGTGTGTGTGTGTGTGTGTGTGTGTGTGTGTGTGTGTGTGTGTGTGTGTGTGTGTGTGTGTGTGTGTGTGTGTGTGTGTGTGTGTGTGTGTGTGTGTGTGTGTGTGTGTGTGTGTGTGTGTGTGTGTGTGTGTGTGTGTGTGTGTGTGTGTGATACTGGTTATATCTCGGCTTGGCACATAGTTGAGCTATTTTCTGTGGTACCAGGTTAATGGGAGGGTTGGGTAAGGGCATCAATGTGAAAAGATTTAGCCTGCGAGTAGTACTTTAATACCGCCCCCCCTTGACCTGAAAAATGGCTATTACAATCAAATCTTCTTAGCATGCCTCAGGCCTGTTTGAGTGTGTGCATGTGTGTGTCAGTGTGCGTCCATGTGTAACAGGGGAAGGAAAAGGAGAGGGATAAAGATCAGGTCAAATAGATGGTGGGTTAGCCAAGGCCTTTAAAAGCTCTCTGTAAGCCATGAACTCCTCATTGATCCCTAATCATGCCTCAAGTTATATTTTAATATTTTACCTTCATTCGGTTTTAATAGAACCTCCTGGATGAAACAGATGAGCCACATTAATATACAAATAATATAATAGTGTGTAAAGAAAAACAAAAATGTTGACGGCAAATGTTCTTTCCAAATGTATTTGTACTGAGTGCCGCACAGTATTCACAGGGATTCTGTTTCAAAGACCCTGTCTTTCATCCAGCATTAGCACTCTGATAGGTTTGCTGAGTTTTTGGAGAAGCTAAAACATTTACACGCTTTTGTAGCTAGTGCATGACCAGATTACATTTAGAAACTAGTTCATTTAATTGACATCCCTTACCAAGGAATAACAGGTAAATAATTATTCCCAGTTCAGTGTTTCCCCTAGGATGGAGTCATAGCAGCGGTGCTGAGGCACGTGGGCCCAGCATAATGTGAGTGCGAAGTGCGCCCGCGCCAATTTGTTTCTATGTGTCTGCCAGCACAAGAAAGGCTCTTGAGGCCTAGTACCAGGGCCGGTTCTAGCCAATTTGCTGCCCTAGGCGAGATTTTATATATAAAGAATAAATGAAAAATCTCTACAAAAGACAAATACACTACAAAAACAGAAACGTATTGACATGGGTAATATACATCAAAATGGCTTCAAATGTATTCAGTATTGTATGAACATGTTTTAATTGGGGGGTGGACGTCACATCCTCTAGGGGGGTCCGGGGGTATGCCCCCCCCGGGACGATTGTTTTGAACATTTTAAAGTAAAATGCTTCAATCTGGTGCACTTTGAGCACACATTACTAGAGACCTGATCTAGGGGGTACAACTCTAAAACACCCATCTGAAAAAGATCGGTTTACATTTTAATAATTAAATAAGTATATGAACATAACCAATAACCTACCATAGCCAATAACAAATAAATGTAACTTTATATCTTATTTTACCAGTTAACATTTATTTATTGATGCATATTTTTGTATCTCCAACTTTAAACGATATTTTTGGTTTACTGTCCTATAGTATACATTGGAATGATTTCAAACCTGTTTTTATTTATCCTAATAATTATAAAGGAGTGCCTTGGAAATATGTGTTTACATAATTTGTAAACACATATTTGTTTGAGACCCACTGAGATAACTTAGACTAAAATAAACTATCTAAACCCTCAGAGAGTCCTTTACCTCACTGAGCCTCTCAGTCTGACAGGAGAGCTCTCCTCCACCCTGGTTGTAGAAACATCTACTCCTTATATCCGTTAGCGCAGCTAGCACCAGATTCTAATAACAACAGCGCTCCCACGCTCACACTTTGGCTGTGAGCTGCGGGTGCCTGATAAGCCAACACCCCCCACTTTCATCACTTACAGCGCCCATCGTACAGGGCAAATGAAAGTGTAACCGGGGTGAAAAGGGTGTTACATTTACATAATTATGAATGTTGTTACATCAAGGCCAAAAATTAGGATGAGCGCCAACGGTCAAACATTTTTTTTCCCCTCCCAGAGCTACCAGCGCAGCGCCCCCCAGATCTGGCGCCCTATGTCGCCTATGCCAAAAATCGGCCCTGCCAGTACATACAGTAGCAATGTCTCAAGATTTAGCAAAAATACACCTTTATTGAACATACAGTAACACAAATACTACAAATCCACATAACCAGAGTTGGGTGTTACTGTAATAATATTACTTTTGTCGGTAACGGAGTAGTGTAACGCGTTACTTTTATAATTCAGTAATCACACTACAGTTACTAACATTGCCCCGACACGCGTTACTTTGTTACTTTTATAAAATCAGTCATAATCACACTGACAGACAAGAGGGGTTTCCGCCGCAGGTTTATATGTACGTAATCTGCGCGACTTGCACGTCCACATCTCCACGTGCAGTGCTGCATAAACATGGCTAAGTCAGCGATAACTTTCGAGGGGTGGAGGTATGCCCATTATTTTGAGTTTGTCCGAAGAATAGACAGGAATGTGACGGTGAGGTGCAAACTGTGTCCAGGCCAGAAGCTGTTATCCACTGCTGCAAACACCACGTCAAACCTCAACAAACACCTGCAAAGAACACATGCTAAGGTGAAGCTAATAGCTAAGGACCCCCGAACCCAGAGTGAGGATGTTGTGAGTGCGCCGCCGCCGACTCCGAAGCAGCAAAAATTAGAATTTGGAGGACCGCTAACCAAAGCAGAGATGGACAGGCTTGTAGCATCCTTCATAGTAGAGGAAATGTTGCCCATTTGCACAGTGGAATCACCATCGCATCGTTCAGAGATATACTGCGCAAAATACAGATAGCAGGAGACAGAGGACAGCCATGGTCAGAGCTATCTGGATCAGTCTTATGCGACAATGGAAACTTTAGCAGTCTGCGTGATCTGCCTGTAGGGAGGGGCGGGCCGGCCCTGTGAGTAAAGTAACGAGTAAAGTAACAAGTTACTTTATGTAGAGAGTAACGAAGTAGTGTAATATATTACTTTTTTTTAAAAGTAATATGTAATATATTACTTTTTTTTAGTAACGACCCCATCTCTGCACATAACAAACAATCAAAAATGAAAAAGGGTCGCCACTTATTTATTTTGTTGGGTTCCTGGCTGCGCCGCCGCTATTTGTATATAGGGGAAACACTGCAGTTTCCTTCCTTGGGTTGAAAGGAGCACTGTGGCATTCCTGTGAGACCTCCGAGCACACAGTTATTTTTATAGGACTTACAGAATATTTACCACATGTACTGTGAAGCATGCAGTCCAAGGGAAAGCATGAGACAGCTTAAATATAATCTTTTGGTCACATGATCCGTGCTAACAGGGTGCCCTCAAGTTGGCCTGATCATCCTCAACCTCTGTCCTTCAGCATATTATGGGCCACACACACACACCCCTATTGAGTGTGTGGTTGATAATGATTGCCTCCCACGGCTGCCTCACGGTCATGTTGGCTGCTTCAGGCTACACCAGTGCCAAGTACTAGCCCCCTAACTTACCCACCCCTCCCCTACCCCACCCTCTTTCAACACGTCTTGGTGTGACATGACACTGTGGAAATGCCAGGCCAGGCCATTTATGAGCGCTTAAAAAGCCATGAAACGTGGCACCTTGACTGATAACCTCATCTATTTTTTCCCCGCAGCACTGCAGGCCGAGCTGGAGATTGTGCTTTCTCATTTTTATCACTTAATTCAATTTACGCCTGTATTTTACATAACGTAGCTATGGTGATAACACACAAAGCATCATAAACAGTATCAGAACATGACAGGAATATTAAACTGAATGTCATTTTCTGTGGAATGCCTGCCGATAGTGCTGTAAGGAGAGCTTTATCTATGCAAATAACAAGATTATAATCTGCCTATAATATGCGTGATATGTGGGTTTCATTTTGTTATCTGAGCGCTGTGTTCAATTATAAGTTTTCCTGAGGTTAACCAGGCCTTCATGTGATGTTCATTTGTACTTCGGAGAGTTTCTGACAACTTCTAGTCAGGATACATTTGTAAAAACATTTGTTCTCTTTGTTCTCAATTTAAACTTCTGATCTCTACAGTAATAACATAAAGAAGAACATCTTCTACATCAGGGGTGTCAAACTCATTTTAGTTCAGCCAAATTTGATGTTAAGTGGGCCGGACTAGTAAAATTGTAGTATATATATATATATATATATATACTCTATATACATAACGTGTGTGTGTGTGTGTGTGTGTGTGTGTGTGTGTGTGTGTGTGTGTGCGTGCGTGCGTGCGTGCGTGCGTGCGTGCGTGCGTGCGTGCGTGCGTGCGTGCGTGTGTGTGTAGAGAAGGTGACCCTTCTGGACTCATGGACTTGGTAATTGAAATGCCCTGCCGCTGTGATTCCCATTCATTTAGCTTTAGTGCCGGCTCTATTTCGCTGTTGGCTATATGAGCTTTTCCAGAGAGTGAACCATGTGGTGTCATTTACTCAAGGCCATCAAATACTGTGAGCAGCACCAAGAGTCAGGTGGAATCACACTTTAAAGCAAGTTGTTGTTTTAGAAT